GGATCCGGACCGGAAAAATTCTTTGATTGCCGCTACGAGGTCCTTGCCAACGACATCCCAACTCTTCAAGAAAAAGGTAGAGGTGTATCCATCGGGGCCCGGGGACTTACCTCCTTCAATTCCTCTTAGGGTTAGCTTGATCTCTTCTTCGGTTACCGGGGATATTAGAGAGTTACATTGGTCGGAGCTAAGAGTTGGCCCCGAGCTAAGAATTAGAGGGTCGATGTCCTCCGTTTGTATCCCGGTTCCCAAAAGTCCTTCGTAGTATCGAATAAATTCCTTTGCCACATCTTCCATTGAGCCGGTTAATGTTCCATCCTCACGAGTTATCGATGCGATATAATTTCTCTTCGTTCTCTTCTTGACCAAGCCATGATAAAACTTTGTACATTTGTCCTCTTGAATTTGAAAGTTGCATTTGGCCTTTTGTTGGAAGAAGGACTTTTCCGCTTTGGCCAAGTTGAGAGCTTTGAGTCTAAGAGGCCCCAACTTAGACTTAATACCGAGGTCATCCGGTTGGTCATGGAGTGATTGTTGAGCTTCTTTGAGTGCGTCTTTTGCTTCCTTGGCACGAGTAGAAATATGTGAGAAAGATTTCTCATTAAGTACCTTAAGTGCTTTCTTGAGATTCTTGAGGTTGTTCGAGAGCCTATATTGCCTCGATCCCTCCCCAACGTGACTCCAAGTGCCGGCTACACATGGTAGGAAGTCCTCGTGCCACGACCACATATTAAAGAAGCGCCAAGGGGTACCCCTATTGGCTCCGGCTTCGAAAATGTTAACAAGACAAGGCGAGTGGTCGGAGATGCCCGGTGGAAGGAATGAGGCATGTGAAAAGTGGTCGGCATTCACCCAATGTGGGTCCATCATGGCTCTATCAAGCTTGGACCATACATGACTATTTGTCCAAGTGTGAAAGAAGCCACTAGAAGGAATATCGGTTAGGCCCAAAGAGTCACATAAATCAACAAGATCCATGGTGTCACGGTTGGTGACTCGTTCTCCTTTAATTCTCTCTTCCAGCTTAAGAATGGCATTAAAATCACCAAGTATCAACCAAGGAAAGGAAATTCTACTCCGAGAAGATTTAAGATCGTTCCAAAGAAGTTTCCTATCCCCCCTCGTATGGAGACCATACATAAAGCTAGTGTGAAAAGAGATGTTGCTAACCTTGCAATGGATTTCCAAGAGGATGACTTGTGGTAGGGAGCTCTCCACCTTAATGTTCACTTTCATGGGGTTCCAAAGGACGGCAATCCTTCCATGATTAATAGTATGAAAATTATCGCAAAAGTCATCCTAAGGAATGCATTGGTTTACCCAAGAGCGCTTGGATGAGATGACTTGGATCTCTTCCAGCTTAACCAGTGGTCTCGAGTTCGAGCCCTGGGAATGCAGCAGTGTTAAAACTCTTGAAAGAGAGCTTTGCCGCCCTTGTGGTCCTACCCGGCTCGATTTCGGATTAGTCGGTTCCCCTGTGGATCCGGAAACCGGAAGGTCCCTGTACCAAAAAAAAGGAATGCATTGGTTTGATGAAAACATAAACGTGTGTACGAAATTACATTGAAATACATGTTCACTTTTTTGGTTTATTTGTTTTACTTGCTTTCCTTTTTGTGTTTTGAACAGCCAACTAATGATTTTCAGTTTCATTTCAGTATCTTTGCAAGCTGTCACGAGCTGCAGAAATCTGTGCATTATTACTATTATTATTATTATTTATTTTTTAATTTCCTAAATTACTAAATTAGGCATATTTTCCTACGGAGGAGCACGGAGCCCAAGTCCAACTGAGTTAGAAAAAACGATACGTCATTACACGGTCTTAATCGAACCGACTCTAAGTACACCAAGATAGAAAAAACCCAGATGAAGCACAAGTGAAGTTTCATCTCAAAACTTATTGGTTGGAGGATGATAGCCAATTAGACTTAGGCTATGTTTGGTAGACAAATAAACTAGCTTATAGCTTATTTGGTTAGCTTATAAGTTCCCTGCATTCAAATAAGTCTCGATTAGTTGGGTCGGGGGTGTGGGGGCATAGCCCTGCGGTACGGTACGTGGTATTTAAGTAAATTAATACCTTGTAGGGTTATGATAAAAATACATGGTGTATTGATGTATTGAGTACGATTCATAATAAAATCTATCTCTCAGCCGCCGTGGACGTAAGCATATTGCCGAACCACGTAAATATTGTATTGTTTACTTTCTCGTTTATAATTCGTATGTCATATTGTCATCTTCTCTAGACAAAGTACATTATGTATAAATTTCAATAAATGATGTACATGTAAAGTGGCCCAAACATAATTAGTGAGAGAGATCGAAATACCTCTCCATGGCCACATGCAAAAAATGTGGCAACTTCAGATATTTATTACTATTTATAGAAATTATTTATAATTTTTAATTTTTGTTGATGTTATTATTTTTTTATTTAATTTATTATTCTTGCACAAGCACAAGCAGCTAGCAAAAGTACAGCACTGAATATATTTGACCGGACTTGATTGCGAATTAGTGATCATACTGGCAGAACAGTGAAAATTTTTGGAAATTGGCAGTTCTTATTAATACTTGACCTGTTCTTCTCCAATATTTATTAGTTTGTTGATATCATTATAATTATTTCTTTTTTCCTTTTCATTATTTGTTGTTAGGCAAAATTACAACATATATGATATATATCCAATAATTTGGGTCAGATATATAACAAAATTAATGGATAATTTCTACAACTGTAAAAGTTGTTGTGTAAATTTGCGATTTGTTACGTAAGAAACGTGGAAAAAACGGGTGCGGTCCTACAAGTGAATATTCTGATACGCCAACTCACTTGTGAGTCCTTAATAAGAAAGTCCAAACCCATATATGGAGCTCGGTGTCCAAGCCCTACTAGAAACAGGTTCCCTAAACCGGTACGTGGGGGAAAAACGGGTACATCATCGCACGGTCCCAATGGAACCGGCTCTGACACCATGTAAAAAACGGGGTAAAAATTGGTGCGGTCCCACGCACGTGAAGCGCACCATAAGTAGGGACAAGCCTAGATGAATCTCAAGTGGGGTTTCATCCCAAAACCAATTGGTGGTAGAGTAGCCCATTAGACTTATAAATTAGGCTGATTTTTCATATATAAACAAGTCACAAGTAAATATTCTAATATGTTAAAAATTACTGTATTATTGTATAAATTTTACAAATTTGTTGTCCAACTAATAAATTAAATAGGTTAAACATTGGACAGATCACAACATATATAAACAAGAACAAGCTAGCAAATATCTTAATTTAAATATTAATACAAAAAGTTCCTTGAAATAAGGCTAACCACTTAAAAACCTCACCCTCCATAATGATGGTTTTGTACATTGTACTGTGAAGTGGATTATTATCTCTTAGTTTCTCATGTGAACTCCTGCTCCTTTAACTTGTTCAATTATTGAATTTATTATACCTAATCATGTGTAAATGCTCAAATATAAATAAAATACTATAAATTATATGTATGGATATATATTATATTCATAATAATAAATTATATAATATGCATATCATATTTTTTAAATTTGATCATTTAGTAAAAATAAACAATATATTTATTTATTAACTGTTTTACTTACATATGAATCATTATAAAATGAGATAAAATAAAATGCTAGTATAAATTTTATAACAAATAGCTTGAAGAAAAACTTTGCTATAATTTTTCGTTAAGTATATAAATTTCATAATTTTTGGCGTGAATTTATAATTAATTAATATTAGCTGTAATTTATTAGGGATATCATTCGAGATTTACATGATCTTTCTTGTATATTAAGTTAGTCTTGTAAATTAGGTATATTCTTGGAGAGAAAGTAACTCTTGTATTATATATTTCCAGAGTTTTGTAACTATCAGTGAGAAATAAAAATTTATACGATTCTTGTTTTTTTCTTATAGTATCAGAGCGGTTTTTCTAAAACACGAACCCTCAACGCCACACTAGCCGCTGTTACCATGGCCGACCATATCAAGGTGCCACCAATCGGCTCTCCGTTGTACATATACCTGTCCGATAGCACGGGAACTCCACTTACACAAGTTATTCTCACCGGCAAGAATTACTCGACATGGGCCAAGGCAGTGAGGCGTGCTCTAGAAGCGAAGAACAAAGCAAGCTTCGTGGATGGCTCCATCAAACAACCGGCCAGTGACCATACTGATTTTCATTGGTGGAAGATGGGCCAACACCTTGGTTGCCTCTTGGATCCTTAATTCCCTTGAGAAATCGTTGCAACACAGCGTCGTACATGCAACCAATGCTCGGGCCATGTGGGACGAATTGAAGGAGTGTTTTCACAAGGCAACGTACCACTCATATTGAAGGCGGAGATTAGTCTGCTCCGCCAAAATGGGCGTGTTGTGACTGAATACTTCACGAAATTGAAGGGCCTTTGGGACGAACTCGCCGACTACAACGATGTGATCGTGTGCACCTGCGCTGGGTGCACTTGTGGCATGACCGCAAGGCTTGCGGC